TGACTCATGTTTAAATACTCTAAATGGGAGGAAAAAAAGCCCTAAAGGATGACTTAAGGAGCCTGTGATAGTGGCAATCAGTTTTTCACTCTTTGTGAAATACAGCGAGATTCATGGTTTAAAAAAAAATACCACCACAGCACTTGCTCAGAATTTGTCAGGAGACACCAGACAGCCAAGGAGCTGAGCACCTGTTTGGAAAATTGCTGAATGCTAGGTCAGTCCACGGTGGACTAACTCGGGACAGTGCCCCTTTCCTGAGTTGTGGCATGCTCCTTTAGCAGTAGAAGTTCTGTTTCTTGAGGTTGGTCTCATGAAATCTGGCACTGATGGTACCAGATGGAGACAGCAAAACAGAATAAAATAATTGCAATAAGCCTGTATATCTGTAGAGAACTCGTCACTAGTAGATGTCTGTGTCATGCTCATTGCTTGCTGTTAAGAGTTTCCTTCTCAGGGGGAGCTTGGTCTTATGTAGAAAGATTTCTTGGTTGAGCGGAGATTATATCATTGGTCCCTACATATGTCTAAAACCTGGTATTCCTGATATGCAACATTGTGTAGCTCTATGCTTCACTTTCAAACTGTGTGAGTTCACACCCCTCGAGCATTATTTTAAATTTGGTTTCAGAGGGGCTGCAAATGAAACCCATTTGAGTCTGCCAAGTTTCATCAAGTGTTGTGTCAAGCTTACAAATTTTGCATGATTTTGATGTATAACCATAAATCAGCCCAGGTGTGCTGAAAATGTCCCTAAGTTTTAGCATACCTTTTGATGAACTTGCTCTGACATTTGAGTTTGTAAGAAAATACAGCACTAGGGAACTTTGCAGTATTTAATTGTTGATGTTACCATACAGCTCTCACAGTAGTGTAGACTAGGGTCATACGTGACCTGTCATTAAATGGTAATTCATCTACTGACAGCTCAATGTCTGGAGTGTGCTGCCTTTTTCCCTAAAGATTTTGTGAAAAAATAACTTGGAGTATAAAGTTTTCCCAAAGTTCATAGACATTTCACCAGGGAATGTTTATTAATTTTAAAAACTTTTTTCCCAGCTGTATGAACCAGAACTAAACATATAATTGATTTATTTTTTGGAGTGTTAAGAAAATATGTTTCCCACAAAGGGAGTATTTCTGGCAACAGAAATACTTCTGGAGCTGAATTACAGTGTTATTTGCTTGCATCTATGTTGTTAAGACTAGTGTGTGCTAGTTTTCCAGCATGTCCTTGTAGCTCCAAATGGAGTAGTATACCTTAACGTACATTAATCCAGAGGAAATAGAGTAAATCAAGTTAGGAAGGCGTACTTCTGCTGACTAGTTTTTTTCAGGTTAAGGGAAAGATTTGAAAGTTAGAGTGAAATCCTTTTTTGAGCTATTGAGGCACAAAATAATCTAGACCGCTTTAAAGAGCAGAACCTGCTTTCTCTTCATGCTCTTGCAGTTCAGAGGTTGCTTCACTGACGTTACACAGGCTGCATCCGAAGTCTTTCACACGTGTAATGAGCAGAAGTGAAGACCACCCTCTTAAAGGAGAACTTATTTGGAGGAGTTAACTCTTCTATGATAGGATTTTAAAATATCCTTTCCAGAATGCTGCAGAAGTGGTGAAGTGTGAGCGTGTGACATTATTCAATAGCTGCTGAAGTGTGCCGAGATGAACATGTTACTACTGTAGGTTGCAATGTGCAGTCAGTAGGTGTATGATTCTGAATGCCTTTATTAGAATTAATCAGTAGTTTACAAAGGGGAGATGAAATTAAAGGCCTGAAAACAAATACTGTTTACTGATGACTCACTGAAGGAGAGGCAGAATGCTGTAGTATAACTGAGTGAATAGTGTTGTAGGCAGCTGAAGGTTTGGTTTAGAGGCGGCAATCGGTCGGTATTTGTGAGCTGATACGTGTGATCTGACTGGGTACTATCCGGCCAGGTTTTGGCGGTGCTGTGCTTTGCTGTGGTGTGCTTCCAAGCTCCTCACGTGACTTCAGCCAGCCGTGAGTCAGGATGTTTTTCTTCTGTGCTACAATAAAAATGTTCAGTTAAAGAACAGGGTGGGTATTCTTAAGGGCAGGCAGGCGAATTACATTTCTCAGTGTCGCCCACTGCAAGTCAGAGCTTTTAGAGTATTAATGTTTGATGATAAGTAACATCAAGGTAGAGTAGTTGTGAAGAACGTAAAAATAGACTTCAGTTAGGGAGAGGTTTTATTTCAAACCTCCCTCTAAATTAAACAGAAGAACAACTTCCCCTTACAGTGTACAGCTACAGTCATCATACTCCTTTCTTTCTCACTGCTATGAAATAGCTGCAAAGGCTTAACTTAAAACAGACTTGTTAAGCAAGTAAGGAAGCGTAAGAGGACGTGACCTGCTTATGGTAAATTTACATCTGTCCACTCTTTCTTCAAGGATTTCCAACTGCGTGAAATTTGCTTTACTGTCATGTCCTGTACTGAGAGTGTTTTCACAAATGTATTACAGAGCAGTTACTGTTTTGAGTTAGTCGCATGTAGCCAGAATTTCTTCTGGGTCCCTACTCGAAGTATGGTTATGGAAAATCAGTGGTTTCTTTTGGTTCTTTCAGTTAGGAACTGCAACCATGAATCATTCACCATAAAAAGACTAGTACCAGCTCAAAGTAAAGTATGCCCCCCCTCACCTTTCTTTTAAGGGATGCAATAAGAGAAGGAAGGAAAAGATCATGAGTTCATGCTGCTGCTTCTTCCCAAATATCATCCTTTTGGTTGGACCAACACTGATCTTTTTATATAGCTTGTGTGCTCACATTCAGATCTTCATCTGATGTAAATTGTGGTAGCTTCATTGACTTCAGCAGAGTGGGGCTGTTTTACACTGGCTGAGGCTTACCACAGGATGTAATACACTAATATATTTCTGTGCAACGCTATAAGTTATGTCAAGTTCTGGAGCTTCTCATAGTGGGAGGTTCTGGTTAAATGTTTTTATGATTAAAATTGCAATGTCAGATTTGGATGGGTGATAAGCGTGTTTAAGTGATAGATCTGCATTCTGGCAGTGTTTGTCAGAGGTTTTTTTGATGGCTTAATCTTTGGCTAGTACAACTGGTCGCTCAGTTTCTTTTATTTTGCTCTTCTGAGTCTCTTCTCCCTCTCTGTTTCTCTGTCCATTTTCCCCTATTCCTGCTCTTCTGTGTTTTTGCTATCTCTCTCTGGTCTTGACAGGATTCTTGTTGGCTGAACACTGACGGCAGGATGAGGAAGGTATCTTCAATACCTCTTGCATAACTTTATTTTAGCATGATGAGGTCCAAGTGACAGAGAAGGTGATACTTAATTAAATCATGAGTTCTTCAGGGCAGGTTTAGAGAAGTATGAACATTCACTTGCAGGACTCTCAGGTGGAAGAATTTATAGTCTTTTATAAACTACTTCATTGCTTTTACTAAGCAAAATAAGTAAATTTACCAACAAACAAACAAAAAAAATAGATTAATAAACCCCAAGAGAGTAAATCAGTTTGCCTTAAAAAATCCAAGGAAGGAAACAAAATACAAAGGACTCTGTTATCTTGTAATGGGTACACCGAGTTAATCTTATCCTAAGCAGTCCTGCAGAGCAGTCAGTGTCATATGATGCTGTAGTAATGTGTTTTGTCTAGGGTCATGCGTTGTCTTTTAACTGCGCTTCTTTTTCCCAAGGGACAATGAATCCCATTAGGGGAAACTTTTTGGTTTTCCTGGTACTTGGCAAGAGCATAGCCCAAGTCAGGTTTGCAGCTTTGGAGGAGAGCCTGACCCAACTTTTGGGATTCTCAAGCTTCTGTTGGGATGTGGGCACACAGTGAATTTCTCTAACACACCAGCTGAGGGAGATGGGTTGGCTTTGGAGAAGCAATGTACCTTTCCAATTGACCAGAATTCCCTTTCAACAAAAATAAATGCTTAAAATGAAGGCAAGTTTTATTTTAGCAAAGAAAGACTCCTCCTTTTTAGGAAAACCTGCTAACCTTTTGGTTAGTTTTGAGTGCTCATGAAAATACAGGTCAATCTCTGTTTAAGTTTTTCTGGGACTGGGGTTATCTTTTGAAATGCATGGACTCTTTAGCGAGGCATCTCTTACATCAGGCTTACTTTTCTGCCCATAATGTCAGTTGAATTGCAGTTTCCACTGATTTCTTCTTCCTAAACTGCATGATTTGCACTGTGAAACTTTTTTTCTTGCTGCAGAAGAGGTGACAGATTATGTATCATCCCATGCATTATCTGTAAAACATTTTAATTTCCAGTCTGTGGGATGTCACTGGTTATTCACAGATCTCACATGATGATAATACAAAGGATCGGCTTGCATGCCCACATCTTTTGGGGTTTCAGGCAGATATTCATAGTATGTGAGTGGACTCAGTGCTTTGGTCTACTGTGACAGTTTCTCTTCTCTTAATTTCCGCTATGTAACCTCATGAAGTACAACCTCCCTTTCCTCAGTTTTGTTATTGCCACACCTTGTAAATAGAACTGAAGCTACTTTGTGGCAGGGAGAAAATCAGTTGAACAAGTGATTAAGTTAACAACATGAGAGAAGAGACTAGGGCAATCCGATCCCCGCTCAGTGTAAGCGGTGGTAACTCCACTGCCACCATTAAAGTTGGCCCTTTTGCTGTTGTGAAATCCATGAGGCAGGGAGGTGTGTCCTGGAAAACAGTCACACTGTAATGCAGCTTTATTTACTGTGCCTTCAAGGTGACTTGCTTCCTTGAGGAACAAGGCTTCATTTCCCCTGTGTAAAAGTCAACTCTTTCTCCTCCAGCCCTGTCCCACAAAGTACCATTTAAATGATGGGGAAGATTTTAAGGAGCGCTTTCGCTCTGCAAATGCTCTAACTAGATCTTAATGTTAATTGCAGTAGGTCAGCAATCACTGCTGACTTTCAGACATCCGTGCTTGATCTCTGAACCGTCAAAGCCATGGAAGGATCCACTTTCATACTTTTTTCTGTCTTGCTTTTTCAACAGTTACATCGCAAACCAGCGAAAATTAGAAAGTATCAATGACAATGAAGTTGGATTTTATGTTGGACTTAAAAATCTGTGAGTATATGGGATGCATATTTTATAAAGCTATTTTTCTTTGTTTCTTTTATAGAACCATATAGAGACCTCATCAGAGCGTAGGCCTAACTTTGTGTGTTATAAAGGACAGTTGTGGATCTTGCAGAGATTTCATCCACATTCTTATTTTAAGCATTATTATCATTATGCTTTCCATTATATTTTAAATGAAGTATTCTAACAGTTTTATGTATTTTCACAGGACTGTGGTGGATTCAGGCTTAAGATTTGTGTCCCGTCAAGCATTTGTGAAAAACGTCAACCTACAATACATGTGAGTAAGGATAGTGTCTGCCTTCTAAGCCAAACCTGCCCAACTCATGTTATTTCATTTAATTGTTAATTTATTTCTCTCTTTTACCATTTCCTTCATATAAAATGTTTTAACAAGACAGACTTACAATGGTCTTCCATCATTAATTGACCTTAAATAAGGTATGTATAGTAAGGAACTGGCAGAACATAGGACATATATGGTAAGGAACTGGCAGATCATAAGAACATAAGACCATCCAGTTCATCATCCTGTCTCTACAATGGACTCTGGCTGTGTCTTTTGTGGCAAATGTAGCACAAAGAGTGCTTCTCTCAGCCGAGTGAGTTGGTGCCGAGGGTATGATGTCCACACTATGCATCACATTGAGTGACATGGGTTTGACTAGCTCTAGTCTGATTCAATGGGCTGAACATATTTTAGCAGTGGCGGTGCAGTAGGTGCATGCATGGAGCACATCTAATGTAATTTGACCAGTGTGTGTGCCCAGAGACTGTGGCATGACTGTGAACTTAAGTCCTGTAAGTGGGGATGACCAGAAGATTCACTTCGGAAGCTCACTCAAGATCTGAACTAATGCACCCAAAGCAGAATATAAGAATGAGGTCACTTTCACCCCCAAATGCAATTTATGGTTCATGAACTTCAGGAAGCAGAGTTGGTGCCTGTGCAGGTTTTGACTGTGTTTTTCTAGATTATTTACACTTTAGATTTAGCAAAGGCTGAACTGATAAAAGTTCGTTACAAAAGTACAGAGAAAAATGATCAGCTAAAATGAAAGACTTCTTGTTTCTTTTTAGTATAAATACATGTCCTGAAGGACTGTAGTGCCTTTTGGTGGGACAGACATGGAGTAGCTTGCTTTGCTACTTACATGGAAAACTGTGGATCTAGTCCTACAAAACATTGACATCATGTGAGGGGCTCAGTTCGTCACAGGTACCCTGTTTTAGCCTGTATTCAACTGTGTATTTCAGTCCATACATCTGCGTTAGATATTTAGAACTTAACCCCTTGCTTTTGTTAAAGATCTAATGATATCAGGAAGACATAAGGCCAAGCCTCGGGCTTGTAAGATACTTCGTTGTAATATGGAGGAACTGTTGAACTGAGCACAGGGCTGATTGCTTTGCTAATGGAATGGAGTCACTTTCTGCACCCGTTTTTTCCAAAGAACGGCAATTAATTCATGTAAGGAAGTGGACGTGAATGTCCGTACCTGTCTAAAGAGCAACTGCTGACCTTAATGTGGTGCAGCCGCTGGAGGGGTGTGAACCAGGTCTTGTTGGCCTATGAGGCTTACATATTACTTCATATAGTCATTAATAAAGTAAATAGCTTTTACTATAATCAGTTGGCGATATAAGGGAGGTATCTTCTAGAGTGAATTTGTGTGTTTACCTGGGTAACAATTGCTCAGTGAATTATGGTTGTAAAAGATGAAATTCCATAAAGCCGAGCGCATATACACTGGCTGTGGAAATGTGCAATATGAACTTAGTGGCTGAGAGGCACATTTGCAGAGAAAGATTTAGTGGCTGTGCTGGGACAGAATCTCAGTGTAATGTGGCAGAACAAAACAAATTCAGTCTGGGATCAAAGGGAATTTTGTGTTAGATTTTTACATCTTTTCCCCATTACCTGAACTGCTGGGAAGGCTTCTGTTGGAATATTTCTATCGGTATACAGATTAGGACACTGAATCTACCCATCTTGAAAGATATTACAGAGAAGAGCAACAGAGCTATAAGGAGCTTGTAAAGCAAGTAATTTAAGGAGACCAGAGGCTGAGTATGTTCAGTCCAATAAAGAGAAGACTGAAAAGGAACATACATCTTCTTGTCTTCTAAAGAAGAGCAATTGTGATGAGGAGAGCAATCAGTTCTTTCCGTGACCATGAGTACAGAGTGAAAAATAATGTGTTTAATTTGGAGCAAGGTAAATAGATGCTTGGAAGACCTTCCCAACTGTGTGGGCAAGTAGACAGTGCAAAAGGTAACTGAGACAATTGGTGGGATCCTCTTGATAGGCTTTTTTGCCTGTTTCCTTAGGGAAATGGGGTTCATGCAGTCACAAAGTCTCTCTGTCCCCAGTGGTTCCTTCTAACCAAAACTTACACAGGTAAATCGGTTTTCTGAAAACTGACCATTGGACAGAACAGGGAGACCCTGTTAGAGTTCCCACTTAAGGGAAGAGTATCATTGAGCATATATGATCTGCTAGGCACTACAGAATCCACGTGGACAAGATGTCTTTAAAATACTTCAGCCACAGGAAGATATTCAGCTGGAGCACGCAGTCAAACATGGAATACGTATCTGTTGGTAAGCAGGCTTTACTAGATCTGTAGTTCATGAAGGTGCTTGTTAGAAACAAATTAGGCTGACTGACATCTGTTCGGTTGATGTACATGGAATCCTGATCCAGAATACTTACGTTATGAACCAGGAGCTTATCCAGTCTCGTACTGTGTTTTGTTTTGGTGGGGATTTAGTAATGTTAGCAGACACAGGATAAGCCCAGATAAGATGGAAAATATTAAGTGGCACCACCTGCTGTATATGCACGTGACAAAGCAGTACGTATGGAGGTGTTTTTTGCCAAGGCTGATCTATTACCCCTGCAAAAAATGCATTTGTTTGTTTTCTCTGGGAAGTCTTGATGCACACTAAAATGTTTCTGAAAGCCCCAGTGAATCACTACTTGTTGTCATCAGCAATAAAACTCCTTTTGACTGCACTGGGAATGAAGTGCAGCCGCTGTTGTGGTTGGGACAGTGAAAACTATTAAGACTGAAATAATTTTACTTTGCAAGAGTAACCTCCAAGTACAGGTCTTTGAAAAGTCTTGCATTTTATTTTGAAACAACAGTTTGTTACTATCCGATAAAGAAAACAAAAACTCCAAACACTTTTCTGAAGACTGATGTAACTGTATAAGCTTTAATTTTGCTAGTGATACTATTACAGTGTTCTTTTTTTTTCTATGAAAAATCTTACGATGTAGTTAAGGAGCTTTATTATATGAACGTAGTATTTATTTTATGAATCATATAAGAATATCAGATTATAAGGAAGTTATTAACACACATTTCCTTAAGCCCTTTTTTGTCATTACCTTATTTTCTTGGCCAAACTTCTGTAGCCCAGATATTTTTCTAGAGTTATGTATGATGAGAAGATTTGAGTAATAACATAAACAGCAGGAAAATAAATGCTCTAATAGGTATTACTTAAATGTAATTAATAGCCTTGCTCATCTAATTCTGGTATTCTCATTGACCTTAGACTCAAATTAGTCAACAGTCGCATTTAACAAGCTATTAAACAGTCCTAGTTTAGTAATAATTCATGAACTTATCTGCTGCTAACAGTAATTTTAATGGACCTGTGTAATACAGGTGCATGGTGTACTGTCAATACCTTTAAACATAAAAATACCTTTCACAGCAAGTGCGTATTTCCAAAAATGTTAAAAAATAGCTATTGTTACGTGACAGGCTGTGTATAATTGCATCGCTGAATCATAGATTTGTGTGCGTGGTATATATGAGCTCTAAGTATTAAGATGTGTTTGTATCTCTACACTGTTAGGGTTTAGGTAAGGCAGCCAAATGAAACCATTTGAGACCTTGCTGCAGATTTTCCCTTGCTTGCACACAGGGCTGGCTCCAGCCATGGGCAGAGCAGGCAGTTACCTGTGGAGGGAGACTGAGGGTAGCAAAATGGCCATTTCTTCACCTCTTCCCCCCAGTTCTCTCTAGATCTGTTCCCTTCTCTTCCTTCTTGCCTCCCCTTGCCAGGAGCACTATAGGCAGTAGAGCTGTGCCTGTGTTGCTAGGTGTGTGAATATTTATGCAGCTTCTCAGGCTGCTTTTGCACTTCTCGTATTGCCACAGATTTGCTTTTAGCTGAGTTGGGACGAGCAAGTTTAAAGTGAGCTTGATATTCGTATGTAAAATACTGGCATGCTTTTGACTGAGTTTGGGTCCTCTCCTCAGATACAGCTTTGGAGCCAGGCTCTGTACTCCTGACTTTTTTTTTTTTTTTTTTTTTTAAGAAAGGCTTTAGAACCCCAGATGGATCTTCTTTGGGCTGCTCACCATGATCTTTTTGTGTGTAGTTGAATTGGGGAACCAATTTATATTCTCTTTCCATGGAAGTAGAAGTGTGGGCCTTAACTGCTCCATAATAAGCCTGGTAGTGATTTTTTCACTTAACATGAATTAAAGAGACTACAACAGGCATCTCTATAATCAATATAAAGGGCTCAGTTTATGAAAAATATATATAACATTAAATTTACTGTCAAAGTATCATTTAAGGTTATCAATCTGTAACAATGGTCTAAAAAATTTCTGTTGAATTATTTGTCAACTTGAAAAACCTTAAAGCGCTAAACTACATGGGAGAAAAGGCTACAGTCTTGGAAGCACTAAATGTTTCAACCCATGATCAAGAATATAGGCTCAAGAATTTTTTATTACTTTTCTTACTGTTCTTACTTCCTTATCCTGGTGCGTAAAAAAAAAAAAAAAAAACTGGTAAAAATCTGAAAAGACAATTAAAGCTATCAAGGTGCTTTTGGTTTTTCAAAACCAGAGTTGTTAAAAACAAAATAATGACTCTATTCTTTTGATAGTTTTACTTAAATTATCGTTCCCATTATTTCACTGGCTCACATGGAGTGAGACTCTTACGTAAGATGTTTGTGGCCCATTTTCAGACTTGTATTGTGATACTTTAGTATTTAGAACGTGTTGGTGGTAGAGGGTTTCGAATCCCCTTTGACTGGCCTTGGTCTGCAATCGGAGCTTGAGCCTGGCATTAGGGCGCCAGGGAAGATCACACAAAATGAAATGACTTCAGCTGGACAGAGCATTTCCCTGAGGAACTTGTCATCTGATGGTTAGGGAGTCCTCCTGATATGGAAGAGCAGGGTCCTCTGCTTTGTGGAAACTGGGAGCCAAACCTGGTCATCACACGACCTCGAGGATGTTGCCTCCCACATAGAGTAGTGAGTGGCATGAGCACCTGTCTGCAGGTAAAGCCCACTGTATATCTGGTTGTCTTTTGGGAAAGGTAGGATTTAGTTGCTGCACAGGTGGGAGAAGCAGGTGCATGACTCGTTTGGTAATACCACAGGGGTATCCACATGTGCTGCTCAGCAGTGTCAGAACTGGAGGGGTTCTCCTGCACGGCGAGTGAAGAGTTGCCTGTGGAGGGATGAGATTTAATGTGCTTCACATCACCTCGGTGCTGGAGACAAAAGCCCAAGTCTGAATGGGGATTCGAGTTCTTTCTTTCAACCTCCCAACATACAGCTTATACATATTACGGAAAAAATCGTAGTGGCAGTTTTTGCTTAAACACGACTTCTGTCCTACGTGCAAAATGTACTTTAATTTTGATATATCCGATCAGGGTCCATGAGACGTTTGCACCAGCATCTGCCATAGGGCAGTCCAGTTCACCTGACTAATGAAATAGTAGCTCATCTGTTTTTGTTCTCACACATTAGGACTAGTCAATTTGTAAACTTCAGGCTGTTGTTTGTCAGAAGCAATCAACGAGGAAATATAGTAAATAAAATCTCTTAAAGATTTTGTTCTAAACGTTTGTAGAAGATCCAACTTGTAATTTCTCAGAGATCAAGGACTGAAAGTTTGGGAAGTAAATGCTGTGTTCCTTAGGCAGGGGAAAAAAAAAAGAGGTTTAATCCCTGGTTTTGAGTAGAGCCCCTATGGCGCCTTTATAATACCACATACAACTCGTGGTATTTTGGCTCATAACACTGATTTGCACTGTACTGCTGGCAGTTATACAGTTTACTGCTCTCACTATCTTTAATTGGTGGACTGATAAGACTGTAGAAAAACAGCATTATTTTGCTTTGGGTGGAGAAAGCAATTTTGTAAGCCTGGGAGGGGAGGAGAATTTCTGATTCAGATGAGCATTTCTTTGCTCTGCATAATGGGAGAGGACCTTTCACTTAATTACCACTGGAAACCGTAAATGCTTAATTGACATAAAAAAGCCCAATATAGGCATTTTACAGTTTTCCTTTTGATCTTCCATGTGGGTGCATATTGCACATGTAGTTTGAAAAGAATAACTAAAAGGCTCTGATGTGGATCTGTGCTAGCATGTGAGGAGGGCTTATGTGAGTACAGATTTTGGTGCACCATCAAAGAAAGGGATACACCCATTTCACTTATGAATAAATTGAGCATGTAATTTACACCTGGACTTTACAAAATACTTTTGAAACACAATTAAATCTGCTGCTTTTCTGCAATGAACAGAAGTGCTAAAAGTGAAAATATTGACCCCTGCTGAGTTTGATCTTGAATGTATTTGACTTTAGATGCAGACTGGATTCAAACCCTTGAAACCCATCAAACCATAAACAGGTCTGAGCACCATTTCATTACAACTTAAATTAAGGGAATAAGGACTTTTTAGAGCTGGTTTGAGTTCTTAATTTTTTTAAGAGACACAAACTGTATTTTCAGTGTAAGAAGAAGCAATTCTAATTAATGCAATCCTTCTCTTTTCCCATAGCAATTTATCCAGAAACAAGCTCTCAAGTTTGTCCAAGAAGCCTTTTCGCCATCTGGGTTTGTCTGATCTGTAAGTTGTCATTTCTTAAAATAAGGTTTATTTTTGGCTGGAATGGAAGAACAAGACTTTGAAATTTGTTCTGTTGAAGGTAGAGGTCCATCAGTGATTGGGAATGAAATTCTGATCCAAAGAAAGCAGCAATGCTGGACACTTAGATACAGAGAGATTTTCATTCCAGGGCTTCAAGAAGGTCAAGTGTATCTTTTAAAACAATGTACAGGTCAAAATAGTCTCTTCCCTTCAGGTTTAAAATATTTTATTGTGAGATTACTTCACAAAAAACTACTGGTGTTTGTATTAAAATATTTGAGCTAGTGAAAATACAGATCTTCAAATGAAGCTTCTCTCTCATATTCTTATATTGGCCCCACAGCTGCTATGCTTATGGTTGGCTATTGAAGAATATTTTCATTTTCTCAAATTCTTTGAGTTGCATAGTGCTTTATATAATAATTTGGTAATGAAGCACTGGTAAACATGTATTTGTTGATTGTTTCAATACATTTTTATCCTCTGTTCCATCAAGCAGATGCCACAAAAAGAGGTTATGCCCCTTAGGTATGTTTTGTTGATAATTAAGTCAGTATAATCACTTTCTTTACAGCCCAGGAAACATTGCTCACTGGAATTTTCTTTCATAACTTGGCGGTTGCTGAGCACTCTGATGGAGAGACTAGCTAGTTGCAGAGCACTCTCATTGCTGTATGCCCTGCACAGGTCTGTTGGTTCTGACGTCCCTGTTTCTTCATGTGCTGTATCTAGGCCCTGCCAAAAAGCCATTGTTAGTGTGTACTTGGCTGTAGGTTCTCTGTTTTGTAGTTGTCATGACCTCAAAAAAATAGATACAGGACTCAGACCAGTGCACAATGTGAAGCTTGGGCTTCTCCTGATTTTTCTAAGCAGTTAGTGTAGAAATGAAGTCATCTTTGCCCTTCTCCCCAGGTTGCAGAAATCTAAGAGTAGGTATGGTCTAGATTAGGAAGCATGCAAAAAAGGAAATGGCTGCAATTTTGAAGGCATTCACTGCTCCCAGTTTCTTGGCATTTGTCTGCTGCCAGTTACAGATTTACTCCAAAGCACAAATCAAGCCAGTCTTGAATCTCTCCATCTCAGGTGAACAGCTTCTTTTAGGCTGTGGGTGGAGTGACTGCTTACAACAATTTTAAAGGAGAACAATGTCAATGTTGCTGATCTTTCTGAAGAAGTTGGTTTGCTCCTGGGCAGAAAGAAGTAAAAAAGTATTTGGGACAGAGAGTGAGAGAATCAAATGTTACAAATATGTGATGGGAATTATGGAAATGAAGTTTAATGAGCCAGGGAAATAGCAACTGGCTGATGTGAATTAGGAGTGAATATATTTGTGTTGTTAATACCAGAGTTAAACAATTGCCATTCGGTGTCATGGTAGTAGAAGCAGGGGAAGGGTCCTGGGAGTGAGCCAGACATGGGAAAAGAGGATGGTGTGAAGGTTAAACTGAATAGTATTTGAGGTATGGAGGCAATGTGTGATGAGGGACAAGTTGAGAGAGAGGGTACAAAATTGAAGTAGCGTGTTTTGGGCTTGGGAAGCAGCTGGAGTGTAGGGATAGAATTATAGTAAAGTAAACAGAGATTGTGATGAAGTGAGATAAACAGACATGGGGAAATGAGGGAAAGAAAGTGGGGTGAAAAAAGCAGAGCCTGAAGGGAGGAAAAACAGTGATAAAATTAGTATCAGTTGAACAATTCTGTTGATAAGTGTCTAATACATAGGTAGAAAATCAGAAAGAGGGGAGAAAGAAGAGTATTGGAAGGGGAACCTGAGAGGAGAATGATGCCATAAATAGCTTCTGAGGAGCTTCCTCTAAATCTGACAAACAAGTGTCCTGTTGTTAGCACTCTTGTAAATCAAAACATAAAGGGATGAAAAGATCACGATAAGGTGAAGCGGAGATATTCACCAGGTATTGAAGGGAAGGAGATGGCGCTTTGAAAGGCTTCTTCTTTTAGAACAAACTGTAGCTGCAGCTGTAAAATTACAGCAAACAAGATAAAGACACATAATTTGCTTTTACTAGGTCAGATTCTTTCTTTCACACAAGTGTATGTGGAGGGCCATCATGCCTCTCTCCAGTATCCTGCCTATGATGTGCGTAAATCCCTTGGTGGGTTTAACACAAAATAAAACAGTGGAAGAAAAGGACTGCTCAGCTACTGGTCAAGGGAAATTTCTCTTTTACAAGGAAGTTACATAATGAAACAAGTTGGGAAGTAAATTTTGCTGTTTTGAAAGTGCATGTTGTAGGTTTTGACCCAAGGGATCATAATGTTCATACTCTGTCTTGCACAAGCAATTCTTGTCCATGCTGTGGTGGTGTTGAACTCCAGCAGATGACTTCTGTGAATCCAAATTGCTCCTTCAGAGGCTGGTGAGAATGATCCCTGCAGCTGTAATCCTCAAAGAACTGCAGATGGCTTTTGGGGGAACAGGTTACAGCTCTGATAAGCTCAGTTCTTTTTGATTTGCACACTTCATGTCCTCAGGAGGCATTTATGAGCATAGATTCTGTGAGCAACTTGAGTTTGGCTTCTGTACATTGAAAATACCCATGAAATTTTGTTAAGAACAGTTACTCTCCTTGTAAAGAGGTGCCTTAAACAGTCACTTGCACATGCTTTATTGGATCTCATCTATGCCTGTAGGAGAAAAAATAACACTGGGTCACTTCTTATGTAGATATTGGGGTGTTCCTGTTCATATTTTACTTGGGCGTTATTGCATGACATTGTTGTGTAGTTTTATTAAATTTTAAAACTAGAACTTGGTAAGTTTGCTAACCTGTGGTTTAAATTCCGTGCAGCATACTGTATAGCTAGATGATACATTTCTGTTTCAGGGCCATTTTTTCAGTTAGTTTTTCTTCATGATATTACCTAGGGTTTTACTGTGAGACTTTCTAGAGTGTTATAGAGGATGAATTTTGAAGGTTAGATAAAATCCTTTTTTATGATTAAGAGTTTTTTAGAGCTTGCCTATAATCCATGACTGTTTGACTCTGTAAAGAATTTATCACCTCACAATAGTAAACCATTTCTGACATGATCCTTCTTAGTTAGCTGAGCAGAGAGTCAAGTGTAGAAGAGAGGAGTTCTGATCTCTGCTTCACTCTTATGAAATGAAATGGAGCTTGATGGAAAGCCCAGTTTGCCGTGTGCACTGGTTTATGCCAGAGAATTGCAGATAGTAGTCGAGCCCCCTGTGTGATCTCTCCGATCTATGACAGTCTGGATTCTTGGTGCAAAGGCAGCTTCATTCCCTACATGGAAACCATTATCCACTTGCAGCTTGCATTGCACTGAGGTTACTAAGGTTGCATTCCTTATCCTTCTTAACTAAAGGGTTCAACTTCTACTTTCACCCAGCTGAGTGCTTGGAGTCCCCCTGCCCCCCATTTTTTTCTATATGCATGATACGTTCTGCATTCTAAACAAATAGTGTTTTTTTCCTATAGGATATTGGTGGACAATCCATTCAAGTGTTCCTGTGAAATTATGTGGATCAAGAAATTTCAAGAGACCAAGTTTTACACCGAAACTCAGGATTTATATTGCATAGATGACAACAACAAGAGGACAGCCTTGCTGGATATGAAGGTCCCGAACTGCGGTAATACTCTTTTAACATAAAATTACTGCTAAATTATTGTGAGACAGGAAAAACAAACATGCTTTTTTACAAGATACCTACCAGGATGACGACAGCGCTGCTAAAGGGAAAGGTTTCAGTGGAGATATTAACCACTCAGTGGTCTTTCACCCCACATGGAATAATTCTGGGAGCTTCATGTAAACCTTTTTTTTTTTCCTTGTTCCTTTAAGAATGTACCATTTTTCAAGTGCAGGAAAACAGAACACCGATTATAGATAACACACAAGAATTATATAAAATGCAAGTGCCTTTGTTAAACTAAATAGTAGTGCTTCCAAGCTCAACAGACACAAAATTTTACCTCCTTGAATTTTTTTTTCAGGTATTTATGGTTAATGAAGTCTTTATTTTCCTTCAAAAATACAAACTCTAGTGCTAGGACTGTAGGAAGAACATTCAGAAGAACTGCCTGCTAATAGAGACAAATTAGCAATAGCTCTGTTCTTCACACAGATAAAACTCTTCTGAGTTCACTTGTAAAGGCTATGCAAAAGAGTCGTAACAAGCTTAGGTCTGTAGCATTTTGCAGCATATTGTTTTCAGTTAGCTTATATGGATCTGGAGATAGTGGAAAAATGCTGTAACAATAAGGCTTTTTTTGTATACAACTTTGCTGCCTGTATATGGTCCTGGGACAGCTGGTGAAAGGTTTCACCCACTAGTTGAAGAGATTTCTTCTCCTCTGTGTACGAGGGGCAGAGGCTGAGTGTTTCTGACATGACGTGAGACCTGCTGGAGTCTGGAGTTTCCCTTGCAGAGTGGGGAGCTGGGGCACCCAGCAGCAGGCAGGCAAGAAGGAAAGGGAGCAAGGGTATTCTCATGGAGGGCTGATTTGGATTGGGAAAGCTGTACGTGAAGGTGAATAGCAGGAGGAACACAAAAATGATACCGTTTTTCCTTCCACCTTTGCCCATTGACTGTCCTTTTCTCCACTGCCTATATGGAGGGTGACACCGTCTGATAGCAGCTGCCAGTGAGGAACAGCCGTGGAGGGGAACTGCTGCAGACCCAACACGTGCGGCGTTTAACGGCAGTAATGTGTTTTATGGCCACGTATCATGCTGTTGGTCTTGTGTCCAGCTTCCTGGTGGGGCCAGGCATGGTGGTGTATTCACAACAAAAACAATGCTAGTGTCAGGTGCGATCAAAAAAAAAGCAACCTGTTTAGGGGGTCTTGTGAGCTGCAGGATCTGATTTACCTGAAGTGGGAGATGATACCGAGGTGAGCTAAACGGACCCAACAGTCTGCTCCAGCTGGATGGACTAGAAGGTAGGTTAATCTGCTGGGTGTAGAAAGGTCTCCTGGTGGACTGAGATCAATTAGTTCAAACCAGGAACTCCAGCATAGTCTTTTGTAACATTCTTTGCTGGTACATCTAGAAGCTACCAGGTAGCTAGGATTTTCCTTTGAAAACTTTTGTTAAATGCTCAGAATTAAACCTATGAGACATTATTTCTTTCTCCTGAGTTCTTGACCATCTGCAGTCACAACAGACTTGTCTCTGACCTCTTGATGCTGTGTAGGTGCATGTGTGTGTACACATGCACGCATCCTGTGGGCATATCTTGACTAAAATACTTGCCATGACAAGGGAAGGTGGTACTTCCAAATAGAGGAGGAAGAGGAGGAGGAAAGGTGAGTCTATATGACATTCATATTGGCAGTATGTGGAATTTGCAGTATGTGGAATTTGCATATGGGAAAGGTGCATTTTGCTGAAGATTTGTGTGGATGTCAGCACATGCCTGCAAATTATTTGTTAGTTTACAGGGTCCAAATATAACTAAACTTTACATAATTGTTTTTTTTTCTTTTCTTTTAGTGAGTCTTTCCCCTTAATTTACCTTTTTCACAATGAACCATAGGTTTTTAATACAGATGACAATACAGCCTTTTCCTAGGCACAGAATAGGGAATCCCAGGTGTAGAGGAATGACCCTCTTGGTGAGCATGGGCTGTGTTCTGGAAGATATCTGAAAGATCCAATGTGTGGCTCTTGCTTTCAGTATCTCTGCAGATATTTTTCTGTGTTTAAAAGGACAAGACATAATTTCAAAAAAACCCACTGATGAAACTGGTTTATTTAATTTCCAGAAGTTTCTGAGAGGTTAATAGGTAGAACTGATATAGAAGAAGAATTCAGCTTTTGACATATGTGAACTTTTTCTCCTGTGAACTACGTGACCTTTTTAGCTCCTTTTGATGTCAAGAGAACTTTTTGGGCGTGCAGGCCTTTGAATTTTGTTAATAAAACATATTCTAATTTTCTCTGCTAATGAAATAGTTTCATCCCATCTCTCCGGTTTGTTACATTTTTTTTAATTTAGAAACTAAGCAAACATCCTCTCTTCTTTGTGTGCAGGTGTTATTAATTACTTCATAATATAGTAAGTGGCCTGTACAATATGTGGTTAATATCTTGGTAATAGGACGATTCGCTACTGTGTGCTGTTAATAAATCTCTTGCTGGGAAGTTGGAAGAGGCCACTGTGGTTTTTCTTGATCATAAGGCTTTGGTTTGTAGATAATTGATGTGAAAATTAGCTAAGTTCTGTGGTACTTTACTTATTATTTATATGGTGGAAGTGTTCATTAATGTGCTGATTAAAAGCTGGTTGCAATTTAGATGCCATCAGCCTTGAGATTTCTTTTCTTGAGGTTTAAAGTCAGGTATGCTCACTATCTAGAAGATCCTTTCCAGCTGCAATATTAAAAATGTCATCAATTGTTACGATGCTTGCTGAATTATTTTTTGAACTGCATTTGAAATGTATTTATGTATGATGAAAATTGTCAGATTCTTTTAAATTTTAAATTCACAGTTAATTACTATGTCAAATGTTTTTAAGTTGCATCCACGACAGTAGTATTAGTAGAGCCTTCTGTATTGAGGAACGGTGGTGTTTAGTTTTGCCATTTTCACAGCATTTGCTGGTTGTCTGTACAACATGGACAGCATCACCACCTAGGCCATCCTTTTTTTTTTTTCTACCTGATAAATAGCATTAGAAAATCAAGAAAGAGAACTAAATAAGTAAATACTTCATTCTTATTACTACTTCTGTAAACTCTGGTGGCAATTGCTCCTGTTTTGTTAAGTCCTAGGAAGCGAGGCATGTCTTATGCCTGGGGTAAGGTCACTCAAAAGTCCGTCAGTCTGCAGATCACCTGGAGCTCACTGAATGCCAAGGAGGCAAGACCATGTCTTTGGGACTGGTTATTATGGTGTTAGTTGCTCCCTCTGGTAGGCATTCCATTACTCAGCTGCTCTCATTGAACTCATTGATACCGAAAGAAGTCTGTTTTTTCTTGTGGTATTTTTGGGAGGGGCCTGGCTTCTACAGCTGTCTCTGCAGTCCCATCTAGATTTTTTGTTGTTCTGGATCTCAAGCTGGTAATGGCATTTTGCCTTATCTGGCCAATTTTGTTAATCAGATTGTTTTATATATGCTGGTGCTTGATCTGGCTTTCAGTTTTGCTTACTGTCCCAACTTTGTATGCTTATTTATTGTATATTGTTTCTGCAGATGTTTCCTTTCTTGTCATTGGTCATGCATGCTAGCTAAAGTCTGCTGGACAAAGTGGTAAATTAGTTTCATGTACTAATTTGTTGTACATATAACAAACTGGCTGTTCAGGCTGGCTGTTTGTTTACATATGCAGCCAGTCGGTGGAAATGTTGTCTGATCTGAGAACTATGTGATTTTATGAATGCTAACATTTTTTGTCTGTCTCTTCCCTTGCGCATGAAGTACTGTGGTGTTGCTCTTAGTGCTGCTTCTTGGGTATGACTGACAAAATTTTAGAAATCATTGTAATGTAGAATTACAATCTAAAGAGACAGGTTGCCCATTTCTTGCTCGGTTGGGAAAGCCATGAATTTTTAGAGGCAATTGTTCAGATGACTACAAATGGGCTGGACTGGATGTGGCTTCATTTCAGCCTATTTCTGGTGATAGATTTTTGTCCTAAAGGTGAATGAGTAAATGGTAATATCAGACTGGAGGCAGGTGGTTATAAATTCTAGGGAGGGGGAAAGGCAAACTGAAGGATTGACGCATTTATTTCTTTGAATTTACAGAAAAGATTTGTCTTATTAGTGAGTCAATAAAATAAGCATTAGATCTTAGGCAGTCACAGTCCAAGCAGTCTAAAACCACAAGCAAAGGCATAATCCAGTGGGTGTTGACATTTTTTTCCATTATCAGCCAGACTTCACAGATAAGACTATCAGAAGGAGAACATTACGGGCAGAATGAAGTGAGTTTAAAAAAAGTCTTAAACATTCTCCATGTTTACCTTTCAGAATATTCATGGGCTGTCTAGGCTGTGTTGTTTATTTTGGCTCAAAAAGTAGATGTTATGCATGATGTATGGTGGCAAACTGTTCTTATTTTCTCTGTAAGAGTTTTAATTCTTATCTGTGATCATGGGCTGCATGAAAAAAAGTTTTTTATGAGAGTTTTGACAGTAATGGGGTTTCACCGTTGCTCCAAAGTTGAGTTAGAATTTTCCAATTAAAACAATGTTCATTATTCCAGCTTTTAAGTGAAAACAACCAATAATTTATGGATGGTTGAAGAGGCAACAGGAATCTCATTTTCAAAGACAAAGACATAACTCCCTTGTAAGCATGCACATTTTTGTCTGTTCATGAAGCAGCGAGTAACTTTCATACAGATGTCTAGACATATGATATGTAAATCAGGGCTTGTGAATGATGATAGTTGAGTGTATGTGATGTATATGACTGTCTCATATTCTTAAAAAAAGGCAGAATTTTGTTTTACAATTCTGATTCGATTTCTGCTTTAACTTGAATGAAGCAGGTTTATAATACAAAGCAGGTTAGAAATAGAAGGAAGTAAGGCACTGCCCAAGGGAAAGAAATGTGTCTTGATCACTCAAGTATTGTTCCTGAACTCAGTGCATTGTGCAGGTTTGCAGAGGTACTCTG